TAGAGAGGTCACTTCCCCTCCCTGAGCCTTTGTTCCCATCTCTGTGATGGGTGAGATTATACCTGCTCTGTTCTCCTGTAGGGAAGGTGGTGATAATAAAATAATGGATGGGCACGAGAGAGTGGAGATGACCCAGATGTCCTTCGGTTGATTAATGGATCAACACAAGTGGTAGATCCCTACGATGGAATATTATTTGGCAATAAAAAGGAATAACGCATACTGCGACATGGACGGGCCTCGAAAACATTATGCTAAGTGAACAAGCCAGACACAAAAGGCTATGTATTGGGAGTCCATTCTTACGAAAAACCCGGAAGAGGCAAATCCATAGGGACAGAGAGCAGAGTAGCGGCTTCCAGGGGCTGGAGGGAGGGGAGAATGTGGAGTGACTGCTAATAGGTGCAGGATTTCTTTGGGGGCTGATGAAAATTATGTAGTGATGATGGTTGCACAACTTTGTGAATAGACGGAAAATCACTGAATACATACTTGGAAAGTGTAAATATTTTTTTTCGCTATGAATTATATCTCACTGACAAAATAAATAAACACACATACATACAATGTATGAGAAGGCGGCTGAGTAAGCTGTCAGGCTGCATTCAGCTGGTGTGTTATCATCACTGACAGCATCGTCTTCATATTTCAACATTTATTTAGTGCCTGCTGTGTGCCTGGCACTGTGACAAGAGCTTTGCATGTCTTGCTTCACGTAACAGACCTTATCGTCTTTATTTTGTAAAGAAGGCTGAGAACCTAAGAAATTGAATCATATGACCAAGGTCAAAGGGTGGCTGAAGGCCTGACTGGGACGCAAGCCCCAAGACCTAGGCCCTTTCTTCAACCCCATGCTGCTGTCTCTTGGGTTCAGGGACATGTGGGGATAATTACATGTCTTATTTTTTGGAGACCTGGCCACCATTAAAATGATTCTTGGAACTTGAAGGGTGATACCCAAGACTCCCGTTGGAAAGGCAGACATATCTCCACGGTCAACCTAAGTGACCCTTTCAAGCTGCAGAAGTCAGCTGGCTTATGAATTGCTCACCCCTGAGACCAGCAGCTGGTCTCTCTGGCTTGGGGGCTTGGGAGTGGAATCCAAGAACTCCGAGAGTTGATGACAGGCCCTAAGATTCCCAGGCCTTGGCGATGACAGGCACCCACTACCCTGAAGCCGAGGGAAGTTACTCCAGGCTTCCCTCCGGGAAGAGCTGAGATTCAGCGTTGCAATTACGTCATATGTGAGGAGGCCGCTCGTAGGAATCATCGATTAGGATCCCGTGAGCCAGCTCCCATCTATGAAGTGGGATCAGGACATGGCCTGCCAAGCCTAAAATAGTTTCAAGGTCTACACCAATACGTCAAAAAGCTGCGACAGGAAAATACATATATGTGCGTATGTTATATGTGTATGTATCTGTATGTAGGCACGTATGTGTAAAATGACTGAAAACAAGGTCAGTGGGGTGTGCAAAGGACCGCAGCCCGGCAAGGAGACATTCCAGAACTTCTTGAACACCCACGCAGCTTCAGCATGTGCAGACAGGGATGTTCGAGGGACATGAATTGCTCACAGGTTTTCGGGGGGACTGCCTGGTATGGGGGAAGGGACCTTGAGGGTCGAGGGGCCCTGACACCTTAGCTCCACCTCAAATGGGCTGTGGAATTTGGTGAGTCGTCACACCCCCACCCCGGGCTTAGACTTCACTACCTACTAAGGGAGGGGGCTCAACTGCAAAACCAGTGCATCCTCTGTCATCAGTCAAGTCTCTGTCTGGTCCTTGGCTAGAAGCTGGTGGTTTAATAGTGAATAAGAAACTGGATATCAGCCTTCCTTCTCAAAGCTGAGAGGCTGGGGCGCCTGGGTGGCTTGGTCGGTTGAACGTCTGACTTCGGCTCAGGTCACGATCTCACAGTCCGTGAGTTCAAGCCCCGTGTCGGGCTCTGTGCTGACAGCTCAGAGCCTAGAGCCTGTTTCAGATTCTGTGTCTCCCTCTCTCTCTGCTCCTCCCCTGTTCATGCTCTGTCTCTCTCTCTCTCAAAATTAAATAAACGTTAAAAAAAAAGTTAAAAAAAAAAAAAAGCTGAGAGGCTAATGAGACACGTGTTAACCAAAGAATCCCCCAAACATATGATCACACGTTGCGGTGAGTGCCGTGAAAAAGTAGCAAGACATTCTGTTCACTCGTAAACTCAACCTTTCGCAGACCTGCTATGTGCCGGGCACTCTTTCCATACTTGGATTAGAGTGCACCTGGACTTGTGGGTTTATACGGGTTTGGTAAAGCCAAGAGACCAGGAGGTGATTGCTATTGAAAGGGTTGTTGTGATTCGTAGTTCCCAAAAGAAGAGGGAGAAAAGGCCACACCGTGCAGGGCCACATGGGGAAGTACCAAGTCAGGAGGGAGAAGGGGGCAAGGAGAAAGCACAGGCCAGAGCGTTTACTGGGGTATTCTCAGAACGGATAGGTAAGGTAGGATAAATAAGCTTAGGACTGCGAAATCTGAATAATTTGGGGGGGACTCTGTACAGTCCTGGTGGTCCGGTTGTCTGGTTCCTGACCCTGGCGCAATTCCGGTCAAGGGAAACGTTGGCTTGCTTTGTCAGGGTTTGATAAAGGAGCTGGTTGGGGGTGTGGACCTTGGCTTGGTTGGTGTGCATGTCAAAGGCAGGCTCACAGGCTAGCTGTTAGCTGTCTCTAGGAATTAGCTAATCCTGGGAGGGCTAAGATAAGACAACTGAGGCATACGGACTTGCCCGAGGTTCCTTAGCTTAGTCAGAGAGGCGTTGGGGTTTGAACCCGGGCAGTCAGGCTCCCCAGTTTGCACTCCTAAGGACCTCATTCCTGCCCTCTGCCTAAGAAAGGACTTGGTCTGGTATTACTGAGCACGCCTGAGAAGTGACTTGTGCTCTGTGAGCCGAGGTCCAAGGCAGCACCTTCCAGGGTGAAGGATGCAGGGAGAAAGGGCTGTGGGAAGGCATTCCTGTCTCGAGACCTCAAGACCAACATGGCAGGAGGGAGTGGTGTGGCTGACAGCCAGTTGGCCATACAACTGGCCTGTGGATATTTGAAGCCTTCGGAGGCTGACTCCCACTGTGGGCCAACTCAACCAGAAGCTCTGGGGGAGGCGGAGGGGGAAGCAGGCGATCAATTCTTGATAAGCTCCCTGAGTGACTCTGTAAAATTATCCTCCTTAAAGATTGTAAGGTAACTCAAGTGCACAGATCTTGGGTATACGGTGTGATGAGTTCTGATAAATGCACACACTCATGTAATCCATACTTCTTTCTTTTAATGTTCGTTGATTTATTTTGAGAGAGAGAGGGGGAGCTCATGAGTTGGGGGGAGGGGCAGAGGGAGAGAGAGAATCCCAAGCGGGCTCCACACTCTGCACGGAGCCTGACATGAGGTTTGATCTCACGACTGCGAGATCATGACCAGAGCCGGCATCGAGAGTCTGCCGCTTACCCGACTGAACCGCCCAGGCGCCCCATATAATCCACACTCCTATGGAGATATCAAGTATGTCTGTCACCCTAGAAAATTCCCACACTGCCCTCCTCCCATGCAACCACCGTTCTGAGTTCCATCAATAGAGATCAGTTTTGTCGTTTACAGCCATGGATCCTACAATAGCTGTGCTCTCATATCTGGCTGCCTTCACTCAGAAAAATATTTTTGGGATTTATCCAAGGTGTCGTGCGTTCCATATTCATTCATTTTATCACTGAGGATTACTAAATTGTACCGATATAACTGCAATTAGTTTATCTGATCTATTGACGGACATTTGGATCGGTTCCAGTTTTAGACTCTTGTGAACAAAGCTCCTACAGACATTTGTATGCAAGTCTTTTGTCGAATTAGGTTTTCGCTTCTCCTGGGTGAATACTAGGCCTGGAATGCCTGGGTCGCCCCTGACTGATCTGTTGCAACACTGACATTGTAGAAACTCCGGACTGACCAGCTCATGACTGTAATCCCTTTCAGCTCCCAAATCCCACAGCTCCGTTTCAGCTCTAGTATGCTTCTTGAAGTTGTTACATATTTTTTGTGTGTGTGGTAAAATACACAGGACATAAAAGTTTACCATTTTAACCATTCTTAAGCGTGCAGCTTAATGGCATTAAACACGTTCGTGGCCACCATCCATCTCCAGAACTCTTTTCATCCTGCAACATTGAAACTCTGTGCCTATGAGGGGCGCCTGAGCGGCTGTCGGTTAAGCGTCCAACTTCAGCCCAGGTCATGATCTTGCAGTTCGTGAGTTCGAGCCCTGCCTCGGGCTCTATGCTGACGGCTTGGAGCCTGGAGGCTGCTTCGGATTCTATGTCTCCCTCTCTCTCTCTGCCCCTCCTCTCTCTCTCTCTCTCTCAAAAATAAATAAACGTTTTTTTTTTTTTTCAACGTTTATTTATTTTTGGGACAGAAAGAGACAGAGCGTGAATGGGGGAGGGGCAGAGAGAGAGGGAGACACAGAATCGGAAACAGGCTCCAGGCTCTGAGCCATCAGCCCAGAGCCCGACGCGGGGCTCGAACTCACGGACCGCGAGATCGTGACCTGAGCTGAAGTCGGACGCTTAACCGACTGCGCCACCCAGGCGCCCCTAAATAAACGTTTTTTAAAAAGAAAGAAACTCTGTCCCCATGAAGCACTAACTCCCCATTCTCCTCCTCCAGCCACTGTTTATTATTCCACCCTCTGTTTCTATAACTCGGACCACTCTAAGTACCCTGTGTAAGTGGAATCAAACAATATCTGTCCTTTCTGTGGCTGGCTTATTTCACTTAGCCAGCAAGGTCCAGCCATGCTGTAGCACATGTCAGAATGCCCTTCCTTTTTTAGGGCTGAATAATACTCCACTGTGTGTTATAGACCACACTCTGTTCTTGTATTTTTTCACAGAGAAAAAATTTCATTTAACACAAAGAGTCGTAAAAGGAACGTACAATTACCCGACCCAGAAGCTCTGTAATAAATTCTTCCCTTACTCACCCAGGACATGTTTGGCTGTGTCACCGCTCACGACATCCTAGGTCCAGGAGACCTCAAAATGCAGGTAACTCGGCGCAAGGTGGATTTCACCGTGGCTTGTCCCGTAAAAGACGGAATGCGTCGGGACCGTCAGCCGCTCGCCCGCCACCATCAACACCTACTTTCTCTCATTTGAACTGGTTTCCCAGTGAGTCCATTAAAATCTCCTCTCCGCTTCTTCTCCCAGAACAGTTCATACCAGAGTCTAGAAGGAGATCTCTTTGTTTATATTTCCCGTGGCTGTTTTAAAACCCGATTTGTCATATCGGACATCCTGCACGTTTCCGGTCAGATCTGAGAGGAGGCACCCGCGGGATGCGTGATGGGAGAGAGGAAATGCGAGCCGAAAGCCGCATTGACTGTGACCGCAGCACCTTCGCGGGAGCTGAGAGCCGCCGGGCGTCTCCGCGGGGGGAACCAACCTGAGAATAGCGGGCGGAGTGTAACTGCCTGGGCGCTGAATTTCTCCAGGAACGCGAAGAAACAATCAAAGCTGCAATTGAAACACTGTCACCCACATTAGACAGTCGTGGCCTGTCCCAAAGAGGATGTGTAGGTCTCACACACACACACACACACACACACACACACGCACACGCTGTATTCATGGGCTATTCATGCGGAGACGCGGTGCAAAGACTTCCTACCCGCATCCCACTGGTGGATGCTCCTTGGCCGCTAGACCTCAAATTTCATTTCTTTTGCTCAGTGGAGCATTTGTGTTTCTTCTGAACTATGGTAGCAGTTGTTTTCTGTATGGTGTCTTGGCCGGCCCACCTCACTCTAGAATAGAATTAGCATGGAGAACCTGGGTGGCTCGGTCGGTTAAACATCTGACTCTTGATTTCAGCTCAGGTCATGATCCCAGGGTTGTTAGATTGCGCCCCAAGTTGGGCTCCGTGCTGGGCATGTAGCCTGCTTAAGATTCTCTCTCTCTCTCTCTCTCTCTCTTCTCTCTTATCCCCCCCCCACATGCCTCTCTCTCTGTCCCCCCCCCACCTCAAAAAAAAAAAAAGAATAAAATCAGTGACTCTGTCTTGGGCCTCATCTAAGCAGGTTTTATTTTTATTAATTTTTTTCATGTTTGTTTATTTATTTTGAGAGCCCGAGAAAGCATGTGCACAAGTGGGGGAGAGGCAGAGAGAGAGAGAATCCCAATGAGGCTCTGCACTGTTAGGGCAGAGCCCAACGGGCTGGATTCCATGAACTGTGAGATCATGACCTGAGCTGAAATTGAGAGTCGGTTGCTTAACCAACTGAGCCAACCAGGCGCCCGTAAAGCAGGTTTTATTACATGAGTCCTGAGTTAGGCTCTGGCCCTGTGTCAAGTGCTGTGAGCTTCTCCTATCATCTTTGCAAGGCTTGACTTGTTGCTTGTTTGTAGAACCTTTTAAAGGCATTGTAGACACAGGAAAACCAACCCAAGGGTAATGGCTTTACAAGCTGGCCTCTTAGAATCAATGTTGGGGTTGTGGGTGGAGGAGAATTAATTGCTAAGGTTGGACAGACTGAGTTTGATCCCAACTCTGCCACTCTTTGACCTCAGAGGCAGGCCGTTCCACCCCTGAGTGATGGTGTTCCCATCTGCAAAATGGGGATAGATGGCATCCGCTAAAAGTGATGCACTGATTTGATGGTGGACTAGTTTTCTGCTGCTACTGTAACAGACTGCCATAACCTCAGTGGCTCACAACAACCCAGATTTATTCTGTTACGGGTCTGGAAGCCAGAAGTCCAAAATGTAACCAATGGGCTAGAATCATGGTGGAGCAAAACCGATTCCTTCTGGAGGCTCCGGGGGAGCATCTCTTTCCTTGTCTTTCCCTCTGTGCCTTGGCTCATGGCCCTTTCCTCCATCTTCGGAGCCAATGGTAGCATCGTTCTTTTCCAGCTCTGTTCCCCACGGCTCCTATTGTCACATGGTCTTCTCCGCATTCTGACTCCACTGCCTCCCTCTTACAGGGACTCTTGCAACTACATCAGATCCACCTCAAGATATTTGGATTTAATCATATCTGCAGAGTCCCTCTTACTCTGTAAAGTAACATATGCCTAAGTTCTAGGGATTAGGATGAGGACATCTTTGGGAGACGGGGATTGTATGTATGGTGACCTTCAAGTAACTAACGCACCACATTGTCCTGTGTTCTCCAACTCTGGAGTAAAACTTCACATCGGATACCGTCTTAGTTTGGGCTCCTCCGAGGCAAATGGAATCGAGGATTCAAGAGCATATAGTTTATCTAGGAGGTAAAGGGGGCACCAGGAAGATGTCAGGAGGGGAAAGCAGCCAGGAAGTCCGAGCATCCAAACCAGTTACCTCTGTAGCAGACTGGAGCTTAACCGGAGAAACCCAGGGTTAGACTCCCAACCTTATAGGGGAGGGAGCCGGGGTATGTATTCACCAGTTCCCAGCAGTCACTGGTTTGAGAATTCCCATAGCTTTGTGGCACCTCTGGCAACGAAGCGAGCTCTGGTGCTAAGGGAAGGCAAGGAAATGAAGGCATTGGCAGTTGGAAGTCAGGCCGATGTGCACCCACGTGCTAAGGGCAAGGGTGTACGGGCAGTGTAACCGACGGTGTCCTCCACAGAGGCTCAGGGCCTCTTGGATGCTCATGGTCAGCAGTCCATCCGTCACCATGCCTGGGCACCTCTGCTCCAAGCAGTCAGGTCATTTGCTGGCTAAGAGTCCCTTGCATTTGTGTCCAAACCCGTTTATGCCATCTATCCAGTCATGTAACGAAGCTCCCTTGAATGTTAAGTGTGCAGTCGTCTAATGACACTAAGGTGAAGACTCGATGGGAGTAAAGCTGATCGTAAAAAATGCTGTTCAATTAGGTATGTCATGACAGCTGTGGAAGATGATGGCAGGGGAGGACGAACCACAGAATTCCAGAAGGGGTGGTCATTTCTCCTTTTAAAGAAACGCAAGCTGGAAGGCACAGATGATGAATTGTGGGTGTGATGTGTGTGTGTGTGTGTATTCAGTTTTCACAACACCGTGAGGTTGGCATTATTCCCATTTTGTTGAATGTAAGTGACGAAACCCAAAACGGCTAGGTTAATTCCTCAAGGTCCCACAGTCAGTAAGTGGCAGAACTTGAATGAGGGGATCTCCCTCTTGGCCCTGCACTGCCTCCCACCGATCCCAGCCTGGCACAGCTTCCAGGTGTGTCTAAGCACACCTGCTTCGGTCTGACCAATTTCTTGGGGCCGACGCCATCCCACATTGCCCAGAGAGACTCCAGGCAAGTATATGTGGTTCTTCTCCTTCCCAGTGTGGGAGCTTCCTTCTTGGAAAAGGGGAAATGATACCTTTATCCTACCTTTTCTTAACTTCTTTTGACATTAATGAGCTTCCACAGCTTATAGACCATGGGAACACCTGAAAACTCATAGCAAAGTCAGCGCCCCCCCTTCACCTTCTAGCAGAGATGTCCTACCAGGAATTCTGGGCAGTCTCTCTCTGCTTTGCCCAATATCAGGGCAATATGTGGAGGCATGGAGGAAAGGCCCTGATACTGGCCTTGGCTCTTCAGAGACCTCCAGGTTTGGGATTTTGACAGCAACAGGAATCAGACAGTGGAGAAGCTCAGGCTGGGGGGTCACCAAGGCTTCCATGTTGGTCCCGAGTGCCTGAGACTAGGCTCTAACTAGAAATCTGTTTGGGGGGAAGAGCAAAAAGCTTTCACCCAAGCAGAGCTTATTAACTAAGCTATTAACAACCCTTGGACTGGCTGGGTTTCTTCTTCCATTTTCTATGGAACTCCCTGCAGAGGTGGCTAGGAAAGAGAGCTCACCCCAAGAGCACTGGTTCAATGAGAGGTGTCTGGAGACCCATCAATAGACAAATATGGGATTGGCTGGCATGCAGCTCTTATAAGGCAGTTCAGTTCTTGCTCCCCTTGGAACGGCAGATTGATCAACTTACACTGTGGTTCCCAGCATGCAAAATAGGCTTCCTGATTTTGACCGGGGTTTTGTGTGCTTGTTCTTAAAGGAAATATCAGTTGGCAAGTTGGCTGGTATGGTAATTCCTTCGGTATCAAAATGGCAGCTTTCTGTGACGCTGGATTGAAGGCGCATTCATTTAACATACGTATCGCATGCCTGCTGTGGTCGAGCGCTGGGCTATTGCGGTTATAGGACTCAGGCATAACCCCTTTATCGGACGAGAGAGGTGAGTCAGCAGGCACATGGCGTGTGCCACGAGGGAAGTAAATAAAGGGCCTTACAGGAGCCCAGAGGGTGGACAGCTTCTCCACCTTTGTGTGCAGGGTTTGGGCCTGTTAACAAACACCCAGAGGAGGCGATGCCTGAGCTGAGTTGAGAAGGATGACTGTGGATTAGCCAAGGAGAGAAGGCGGAACTGTGGTGCCATAGGTGGCCTGAGCCAAAGCCAAAGGCGAAACACAAGTGGTGGATGAGAAGAGCTTCAGGGAGTCAGCTGAGGCCAGGATGTAGGACAGAAGCCGGGGACGAGCAGCCTGGAGATGGAGACAGATTTCCACCCAGCGGGGCCTCTGGGTCTTGCCAAGGGGCTGGGACTTGACCCCGGGACGCTGGCCTTACCTGCGTCGTGCGTCGGGGACTCAGCGGCAAGCTGGAGGCAGGAGCCCTGCGTGATTTATCTGTGTAATAATGAGTCATGTTTTAAGGGTGTCCTATGCATTTTCATGGGGCTTAACTTGATAGACAAACTCAGCTCTTCGGTTTTAATTATGCAAACCCAAGAGGCAAGAATTATTCTCTTCAGCTCCAGCATGAAGACCGAAGTCGGCACGCTGCCCCAGTGCCAAGGACCTGTGCCGGAGTTCTTCAGCGCCCCGCTGCGGGGAGGTGGCCAGGGACCTGATGTCCTGCCGCTGATGTCGGAATAGGCCGGCCCCGGTCTGCCTCTTACCCACACCCACAACCTGGACACGTCTCTTCTCCTGGGATCCTTTGCTGCTACTGTGTGCCCCTGCTTTTACCCGTGTTCATTCCCAGCCTCTGCCACCAAAGAGACAGTCTCACCGAGGGGCTCTCCACATGCCAAGTGGTGTTCTAGCCAGTCGGGCTTGGGAAGAAAAGCGCCGGGCTGGGTCTCATTCCAGCTGCATGGCCCTGGGCACTTTCCTTCCCCAGCCTGTCTCCTCATTTATTAAAAGCAAGTGCAGAGGCAGTAGCTGTCCTGCTCATCGCCGTATCCCTCAGTGGCTGGCATG